CCAATAAATATCAGTTGCCGCTAATACTCCATTTCATAATCCATTTCAGGCGCCTAATACTCCATTTCATTTTCAATCATCCGCCAATAGTGGATTCAAGTTCTTCCCACCAAAATTATCTTCAATTTTTACACTGAACTCTATAAATATGGCAACTAATTAAGCTTAAGCAAAGGCAGTTAAAAATGGATAATTCATCCATAATTAGTGCCATCGATTTGAATATTTTGCCAGAAAACGTCTCCTCAACTTTGCAAAAAAAATACTTTCATTGATTTAAATCATCTTCCAGAAGATTTAAATCACCGATTTCAACTTGGGCAAAAAAATCCTCTGCATTTCAAAGACAACTTGTGCACATTCTTGACTCGTTGAGATGAGATCATATTCTTTTGTTGGTGTTTCATCAGAAAAATTGTGAGAATATGGATGGTTTTTCAAAATTTCACTCATGATTTTGTAAATAATGATGGCATTATTTGTTTCCCTTGTGATATAAATAAATTTCAAAGAATAACAAAGATAGACTTTTCATTTATCTATGTATTGGAAAAACTCAATGTATTCAATGTAGTGGGTTAGTATTTAATAACAATGTATTAATAACAAGATATTTAATAAGGGTATTTTAGACAATTTGAAAGATTACTACATTCCTTAATGGGAAAGTGGACTATAATTTGGGACAGACGAAAAAGGAAAACAAGACTAACAAAACGGGACGGAGGGAGTATAACATTTACTTTTTATGGATTAAATTTTTCTACACTGACAGTGTATACACTAAACTGTTAGCGTTGGATAAATAATAACTATACAAAATTTGAATTTAAAATTTAATTTTTACACATATGTCATAAATCTAACGATGATAGTGCATACACTGTCAGTGTATATAAGATTTACTCTATATTTATAACGTCAGGAGGAAGAAGAGATACCATTCTCACAAATGCTGGAGAACGTCAGCTCCAGGCCTCAATTTTTTCAGATAATTCCAACTTTAAAATATTTCAGTAACTGACCGGTGAAAATTTAACCATGCAAAGCCGTATCTCACGTTTCTTTAATTAGCTTTCCTTTTCTCTATGTTTGTACCTCATCATCAATTGCCTGAATTTTCAGATTAAATCATTGTGGATTTTGACCATCTGTGTTAATCTACAGTTCTTGGTCTTTCAAAAATAAATAAATAAATAAAGTTCTTGAAGTATAATAAGTTAACTTGCTATATTCAGTTGACCATCCTTGTTTCTTGATTAGGCACGTGTGGAACTAGGTTAAGAGAAGAATCTTTTACATTTGTCAGTTGTCACTCATTATTACTCCCTAGTTAAACCTCCTTTCCAGTATGGATATTCATCACATGACGTCAAGTTGCATTAAACTATAGCCAGGAGGGCTTCACTTGTCAACTAGGATACATAAAGGCTGCACGCTCATCCTTACCTTCTTGTAACATATACTTGCAACTCTTTCCATCCATAAAGATAGTTCTATTTCTTTTTTTCATATAGATTAAGAAATTTAATTAATACAGTTACAATAGTTACTTTTTGTTCATACTTTTCTCAAATATTCCTTATTAATATTAGATCATTCATTCAAAGTAAGAGGCACGTATTATTAAGGATAAATTTTGTATATAGTGATCACCGTTAGATTCATGACACATGAGCAAAAGTTGAATTTTAAATTCAAATTTTGCATAGTTGTCAGTCATTCAAGACTGACAGTGTATACACTGCAAGTGTAGGAAAGATTAATCCTATTATAATTATTTTGTCCTTGGAACTTAGAGTATTTTAGTTTTTCAATACAAGAGTTAATCTAATTAATGTTATATATTTGACTAAAATGAATCACAAAAACAAAATTGCTAAACAATCAAACTTTTCAATTTAGAGCCATTAGAAGACAACCATTATATTCAAAAATTGCTAATAACTATGCATATTACATATGGGTATGTTAGTAAAATAACAAATTAACTACTCTTTAAAAAAAAATAGGCTTATAAATTGGGGTAAATACAAAAGAAAAGTGAGCTTGTTTTTATAGGACGGAAGGAGTATCTATTAATTCATGCTACAATTTGTATCTCTGAAACTGTAACTCCTTGACTAATTTAAAGAGTAAATCTTATACATACTGTCAGTGTATACACTATCACCGTTAGATATATGACTCATGTGTAAAATTTAAATTTTTGTTCATGTGTCATTCATCCAATCATGATAATGTATACACCATCAGTGTATATAAGATTTACTCTTTACAAAATATGAGAAAGTAATGTGAACGTTAATATTCAGACAAGCCTAGGAACACAACTAGAACTCCTAGAAATCTTTGTCAAACATGGACTAGTGTTCCTATTCTCGTGGCTCCACTTTGCTATTTCCCTCATAGTACAGGTGAAGGAGAGTTTAGGGTTCAATCTGGTGGTAGAGTTGAACTCTTGACAGAAACTTCTGTGATTGCCAACAGCTTCTTCAATGGCTAGTTGTTTTCCCTTTAACCTTTCCTTTACAGCTTCCGAGCAAAGCCCACAAACAAATTTACCCGAGTAAGAATCTTTAATTTGTAGGACGTATTCTTGGGTGCTTTCTTCTTGGAGACCACAGCAGTTGCATTCTTCTTTCATCACCTCATCAATCTTGGCAATGGTTGCCAAGTCCTTTCCTAGTTTATCTATTTCACTTGAAACATCGGACACCACCTTCCGAAGGACCTGCCCATTCTGTTCAAAAAGAGGCAAAAAAGTTGAATCATCATCAAAAGATAAATCTTCATGTATACTTGAATTGAAAATTTACACACAAAAATTTTAAAAAAAAAGTGAACAAAAAGATATTGGAAATTAAACTTCTTGTACATTTGAATATATACTGTAAATTATAGAGCCATGCATGCAGTTTTGTTTGTTCCTCAATGCAGAGGAAGGGCCATTGAGCTTTAGTACGTATACATGTTACAAATGAGGACTTACATACCATGACAGGCAAGAGGGTTGCTTCTGCATAAGCTGCTTTAGTTGTCATTTGACTCATTTCTTCTTGAAACGAGATGAGCTTCATTTGAAGAATAATACTTAGAAGGATAATACTTAGAAACCAGCAAACATAATGAGACAGCTCTTTATGCATCTCCGTGGCTATTTATAGGAGAAAACCAGGGTTTAATTAATGAAAGTACGTGACAGCTGCAAAGTGATAAAATCAACCAAAAAAAAAAAGCAAGACAAGTTGGAATTGCTTTAATAAATCATGAAACTATCTTTTGATGCTGATTAAGACCTTTACCTGTTTGAAGGTTGTAACTCAGAATACAGATTAAGGTTGCTTTCTTGCTATGCAATCAATGCGCAAAATGCATGCATGCACAGCTATGTTCCCGTTTGCATTTTGCAAATTGCAACAGATAGATAACACAGACATTGGTATTCCTAGTTCTTGAGCATAAATATAATAATATCAAGTGTTGAGAAAGTTGGATACGGCTCGTGAGGATTCACAAGTGAATCTTGCTATCACCTATCTAAGAAGTAATCCATGTTGGGAAACCTATTAGTATTTGCATACATAGGTAGGCATATATCTCATGTGACTACTCGTAGATCTTCTTAGTTACAGTATTTTTAAGGCTGCAAGCAGAACCAATTCCCTCAAAAGGCAAATGCAGATGATACAGTTGAACATAGTCTTGTTGGATAAGAACTATTCGTTGGATTCTTCTGTCTATTTCATATACTGTTCAAAGATATTTGTTTTAGCTAGTCAATATATTTTGGAATATGTATTATTCAGAAAAGTGTAAAACGTTACCAACATATTTCATTTCAGAATTCGGTCCAACAGATTTATGTACAAATCCGTAGTATATATAAATCCAGCCCTTTTTTACATATTAAACGTCAAAGCATGATAGAGACTTTACTTAATTCATCACAAAGGCGTTAAAAATGTGAAGATATCACTAGAAGAAATTAATTGGTTTTTCCTTATCAGCTACTAAATTTTTTCATTAAAATATACCTTTTTGTGTTAATGGATTGGAAAAAAGTCATCAGCAGTGAAATTAAGTTCACACCACTTGCCACTTAACTATCAATTCATTGTGATAATTAAGCTACCATTTTTATGTTCTTGTGTACTTCTCAACTTTGAGTGGCGAAAGTTATTGTTCTAGTCTCAGTTTTATTAGGTCAAGTACTAATTCTTGATTAAGGTTCAATGTTAATGTATAGACTCTTTCTTTCCTTGGGGTTAATCTTCTTGATTGAGAGAAGGTTTCACTCGACCAAAAACATAGACACTCACTTCTTCTGTAGTCGTGGATGTCTAGGCAACATACTAACTCAAAAAGGTGAACATGATTAGCTACCCAATTTTGATCAAAATTTTTTTTGTCCCTATTAAAACTTTAAAATCATATAGGGCTGTTCTCTTGAAATCAATTAAATCTTACTCCACGCCTTTATTCTTGAACAACTTGGAGCTTGTCCTTCTTTTCAGCTTTCGCACTATTACGGATATGAAAATACTGATAAAAAAGGGTTACGAGCAAAACTTCGACCCAATCAGAAGCCAAAATAGGCGTTATAATTTTTCTCATATTTGTATGAGGCCTAACTTTAAATTTCAATACAAGCAACTCCAACTAAGGAAAAAAAAATAAAAAAAAGGGAAATGTGGGATGCTTGTAAAGTAACCTCTTCCGATACTGGTTATGTGTTTGATGAATTTATCTGAATTTCTAATAAAATGTGATTAATCGTAATTTGCAAAGTCGACAATGGCATCAGACTGGAAATAATATGTGAAATTGAGAAGTAGACCCCTCACAAGCTGCAAACATTAACTGGACAATCGCTTAATCTGAATCCGTCCAGAACGTCCATGGCCCATGAGCCCATATAAACTCACCTGACGGAGCCCATATAAACTCACCTGACGGAGCCCAACGTTGGGTTGCAGATATGACGTCGTTTTGGTCTTCACTGCGCTCTCTATCGGCTGATTCCAGCTTCCTCCGATCCCTCTCCTCAGACACTTCACTTCTCTCCTTCCTTTGCCATTTCCAAAACCTCAATAAAGATTCACAGAAACCTCAAAAATTTTTGTGGGTTCTTTCAATTATTAGACTTTATCCATTAAATTTCATGTTTTCCTCCCCCCTTTGGTTTTTTTTGATGTACAGTATCTCGTTCAGCTGAAATGATTTAGTGCCATTTCAAGACTTCAAGAAAGGTACACCTTCTCCTCCATATGATACTATTTCAGCCTTCTTTCTTCATTTTTTCTTCGATTTTGGAGATATTGCATGTTATAACTGATATTTCTTTATGTTTGGGGTGTCTGTGTGAGTGAGTGAGTGAGTGTGTTTATTTTTCTTTTTGTGCAATATGGCCTTTAAAAATGCGAAGATCAAATTTTTATGCAGAAAATTTGTTGCCAGTGAATTTAGTTCTAGTCAATTATAATTATTCCTATTATGCTACTTGAATAAACTCTAGTCTTATAGTGTGACACTGTTTGCAGTTTTGATTCTGTAAAATATTTTTTGGCAGGCATTTTCCTATTGGCCTGAATTTTAGCTTTGGGTCTTCACCATTTCTGTAGAGGTTATAGCATGGTCGTCTTAATTTATGCTATTAGAGGATTTGCATACAAGAATTCTAATGCATTTCCCTGTAGTCCAGTATATATGTTTTCTTGTATTGGTTTGTTTTACTTAAAATATTCTTTGCATCATTTAGGTGTTAAAATGGATTTAATGGCTAAATGTGCATGTGGGCATGTTGCAGTAGACGTATGCGATACTGGTAGTGGTGATAGTGATTCTGGTGAGGGTAATAGGAGAAGTGGTAAAGAAAATGGGATGAACATAGACACCGAAAATAATAATAGAAGTAAAACTGCTGGTGCTGAACCGGACACCAGAACTGATGATGCTCGTGACGTGAGTTGGGTGGATTTGGATAAAGGCTTGCATGAGCTGACTGAAAATGACGTGTTTCACCTGAAATTTGACTGTGATGAAGAGGCAGGACTGTTTTATGAGACTTATGCCAAGCTTGTTGGGTTTAATGTTCGAAAGGTGCATACAAGACGTGATGAGAATAATAAGGTAAGATATAGGGGATGGGTTTGTTCAAGAGAAGGTTTTCGGGAGAACAGGATAAATATGTGGGACAGGAAACGAGATCCTAAACCTGTAAGCAGAATTGGCTGTCTTGCTCACTTTCGGGTCAAATATGATAAGAAATCAGGCAAATATGTTGTTACAAGTTTTATTAAAGAGCACAATCATGAGTTGGCACCTCCTATAGTTGTCCCCTTTCTGCAGCCACAAAAGCGTGCACGTAGAGTAGCTGTAGATGTTGGGTTTACTAAGAAAGATATAGAGCGTGAGTGGGCTAGCTCTGACATTCGTGATGGCGACAGTAGGTGTGTCTTAACTCACAGTGTCTTAGCTTACTTGAGTGCTAAGAACGACTATGATCCAGGGTTGTTTTATAAGTACGATCTTGATGAAGAAAATCAATTGTGTAGTATATTTTGGGCAGATTCAAAGTCTAGAGCAGATTATGCCTTCTTTGGTGATGTTTTGGTTTTGAACACTAAATTTAGAAAGAATGCTTACGAAAAACCTTTTATTATTCTTGCGGGTCTAAATAATCATGATCAGACAACCGTATTTGGTTGTGCACTATTGGGAGGCAAGACAGCTGAGACCTATGTATGGCTCCTTGAAACATTCTTGGAAGCCACGAATCACAAAGCACCTGTCTCAGTTATTACAGATGGTGACAAAGCTATAGAAGAAGCAATTCAGAAAACATTCCCCACATCTCAGCATCGTATATGTCGCTGGCACCTATTTAAGGATGCTGTTTCTAGTGCTGGTGACTCATCATCTTTTGGGCCTGAGTTCAAGAAGTGTATGGAGGAAAATTGGAATCCAGAAGAATTTGAGGTGGCTTGGATCAAATTGGTGGAGAAATATGGACTTCAAGGCCATCCATGGTTTGAAGAGACTTACTCCAGGCGTACAAAATGGGCAGAGGCTTACTTACGGGAGCATTTCTTTGCTGGTCTGACCAGTATTCGAGGCCATGGAATGAACACATATTTCACCCGGTTCCTGCAAGTTTGGCACAAGCTTCATGAATTTGTGAGGCACTATGACAAGGCTCTTGTTTGTCTTCGTGAAGATGAGGCAAAAGCAGATTCTGAGTCAGAAAGCGCGTATCCTGCTTTTTGTACAATTTTGAGGGATTTAGAGAGGCATGCTGCTGATGTCTTCACAAGAAGTATGTTTCTCAAAGTTCGTGAACAGATAATGGGCGATGCCATGCTAATTTTGAGTGGAAAAGAGTACCTCAAAGATGATGCCTGTTGGCTTTATAAATTTTCTGAATATATGAAACCTGACGCGATATGGAAGGTTCGATATGATCCAAGCAATCAAAGCTTGAAATGTTCCTGTTTCAAGTTAGTCACAGATGGAGTGCCTTGCTGTCATATGGTTTCTGTGATGAAAGCTGAACATCTGAGAGAATTTCCTAGATGTTGCATTCACAAAAGGTGGACCAAATGTGCAAGGAGTGAAATAGATTCTGGGATCGATATTCAAGCCTTAAATATGGCCACTCAAGTTGCACGTTTTCGAATTTTAAATTCTACCTGTAGTGAGATGAATTATTATGCTTCTCAGACAATTCAAGGTTTTAATGAAACACGGAGTCTCATTTCTAAGATCACGTCTCGTGTGAAGCATATTTACAATTCAAAGGGTGAAGTGGACGAAACAGCACCAGAAGTCAGCCTGGATGCTGATGGCTCAACCACAAGGTCTGGTATGCATGATCCCAAATCAACAAACTCCAGTGGGCAATGTGACGCTACTGCAGTGGAAACACCTCAACCTGACGATTGCAGCCAGCGCAGGTAATGGGAACGTAATAAGCTTTGAACTGCCATGTTTGATTTTTCCAGTGGATGGAGTTCTTAGCATGTATGTTATTTCTCCAACTTTTTCCATTTTCCTGCAGACATTATTGAAAGTGTGAGTGTCATACTGTCAAATAATGTTCAACAAACTGTAAGAAAACAGGAACTGCCCAGGGTACATGTTGCTTTCAGATGTTTTTGCAAGGACTAAAGAGTTAGATAGTGTTTTCAGGTTTGAGTTCAGCATGCTTGTATGCCCATGTTTAAGTATGGAATGCGGCGTTTGATTGCATCTCTTTTCATGTTGCACTGCCCATCTTATTGATTTTTTTAGGTCATCTTACTGAGTTATTTACCTGGAAATTGTGCTTCAAACTGCCACAATAATTCTTTCTGCTGTAATCCTGCATCTGTAATCACGCTTTTTTTTTTATTTGAGACCCATAAATCAGATCGAAGAGAAATTATTGATGTTTGTCTTATCTGAAGCTAGTAAAAATCCTTAGTAACAAAACTATTGTTCTATTGTTGCACCAGTCATGATCAGACTACATCCCAGCAGCTGCGTCTAAATCATGGCTTACAAACATCTGAAGGTACTGGTACAACAGATGATGGTGAGGGACGCACACAGAATGGAGAATTTTCTGGAGCGCCAAGCCAGCCCATAAACTTGATTTGGGAAGACAATGATTAGATTCATCCGAACGCCTATCTGGTAGGTCTTATCCCCTTTTAAGTTCTACATTTTTGACATAGCAGATTTGTCCCTGTCTCAGAAAGTTATATTGTAAGACCCCTTTTACTCGTATCAGTAGATTGAACGAGTTAACATACTGTGGAGAGAAAGTGAATTTTGATTGAAGGGTAAATATACAGAGTCCTACTTCAATAGAACTATTGGTAAATAGGTCATGTTATGCGTGGCTTCAAATTTAAGGTAGTTAATTGTATTTATCCCTGCAGGTATATTGCTGATTGGTCACAGTATCTAGAGAGTGACTATGAATTTCGGGACAAAGGAGCTAAATGTTGGTTAGAAATATTGAGGGGTAAATTAATAGTGGGTATAAGTTCGGGAGGATCAACTGTAACAGCCCTCCATAGACAGATGTCAATGTTTAGATTCACTCTATGATGTTCTATTCACCCAATCATGGTATGTTTAGACTATTAATTTCTGGTTATTGGCCATAGCAAAGAATTTATTGATGGATTTTGCTAGTGGGACATTTTTAAGTCTTTGGAGCAAGGTAATACTCCAATATAAGTTTGACAGCTCTTAATCTAATAATACCCCTCAGACTAGATATGTTACTGTTCACTTTGAACCTACGATGATTTTTTCAACTCATTATAAGAAGTGAAAATTATTTGGGGCCTCACTATTGTCGCATTCAAAAATTTTGTAGACTGATTGTGTTTATAAGGCTTCCCAATTTTGCCCAGGGAACTAACTCCACCAATCTGCAAATTGTATTTGACTTAATTTTTCTGATGCATTCTTTGGAGCTCCTTTTCATTAAAGTGTAGCTCTTGTACTTCTATGACATACTTATGTTTTAGGACCGAGGATTTCTTATTTTTCTCAACTTATGTTGTTGGAAATGTGAATAAGATTGCATGTTTAGGAGACACATTTATGATTCCCCAGCTGTGCTTTGTCAGAAAGGAAGCTCCAGCCCTCATAACAAATTTCAGCATTCTTTAATCTTGTTCATTCTCTTAATCTGTTCCTGTTCCCAGTAAAATGTTCTTAAGTAGATATTTTTTATTTATTTCTCTCTCTTTTGCGCATGTGTGTGTGTGTGTTTAAAAGTCATTTTCTTCAAAATTCGGAAGATCTCTTCTTCTTTCATTTTGTAAGTATCTTCTCTACCCTCATGCAGAAATTCTACCATTTCCCATATTTGACCAAACTACAAAATTTAAAAAACAAAAACTTTCATATGTTAAAGATCACCTGCTCTACAGTGCCATATGTAACAAGCAAAAATGTTTTTTTTTGCATCACTGTGTTGAACTACAGTTGTGGATCGGTCCATAATAAAATATTGAAGCTTCACAGAATATTACCATTGTTTTTGTAACTTTAGTCTGAGACACAGTATGTTTACTGTAGATTTTGAAAAAAATATATACTACTAAAATTGACTGTTAAAAAATAAAAAATAAAAAAATTAACTGTAAAATACAAATTCAAGTTGGAATAGTGACTCAGTACTTCCAAACAGATTAGGTTCTTGCAAAATTGATTTTTAGCTTTGGCTCAAAACAAGAGGATATGTTGGAAAAATCTCTTCAGACATCATGGATGTATGATATATTGAAAAATAAATTATGCATTGACTGGATTGCCACTAACTTGGGAATTAGATATTATGTGGAATGGATTTTGGCTTGCTTTTCTTGATTGTGGGTTGTAACACTTTAGGCTGATTGTTCGACTTTGTAACAAAGTATGGTGTCAGTTTAAAATGCAAGAACTAGTGTAAGTGAAATGTTTGGGGTAGCATTCTAAGAGTAATTAGTCACTAAATCTTTTTCCAGCCAATGACCAAGAGGTTTAAGCCGGGGGCTAGACTACACACCTGATGAATAGGCATGTACATTCTCAGAAGCAAACAGATTGCTGCTGCATTTCTTCTTCTTTTTTTTTTTTGGGTGTTAGTGATGGTTTTCTGTTACTCAATTTCAGGCTGTACAAGTATTAGAGGAGTTGAACTGGATTCGACTTTATCCACCCTGTCAGCCTCCTTTCTTCTATCAAAGGAAGGAAGGCAGAAGTTGGAAGAAGTTGCTTTTGGTTCCCGCAGCTTTGCACATATTTCGTCTCTGCTATGCTGTAAATTTGTAGTTCGACATGACATGCAGGTTCCCTTTTTTCCTTAGGTGCTCTGTCAGGCGAAAATGGTTATGTTCTAACTGTAACAATCGCAGCTACGCTTGTATTGTGCTAAATTAGTCAAAATGCAACCTGTGTTAATTTTATTCTCTATCTTTATTATCTCTTGGAAGAAAAAGAAAAGCAACCAAATTAAAATGATCTATGACTGGTGCAATGCCTGCTATAGCTCTTTTTTTAACCCTCTTGATTATTTTCAGGTTTGTTAAGTATAACTTTTTTATCTTTATTAGTGAATTTCCTTGTATTATAGGAATTCACTGTACTAGTTAAAACTGTTCAACTACTGGGATGAACTAACTACAGGCTGCAATTATTTAAGCAATTTAATAAGCTGATCCAAGAGGATTGTACATTATAGTTTCGAATAAGTGAAAAAAAAAAATGATAACCCTGTATGAAGAATTGAAGGGTACTGCTCAACTTGTCCTGTGGCACATGGACGAGGGGCTGGAGCGGTTGTCAGACAACCGCTCATAAACTTTTCATGGCCAAGATGTGGTGGGCCCATCATCAACGGCCAAAACGAAATGGAACAAAATGGAGATGAGTGTAGAGGATTGTTGCTTTAATACAAGCTTAACTTTTAACTCTGTTTGGTCTAGCCGTTAAGGGTATGAAAAATTCAAAATCAAAATTTGAAAATCAACTTTTGGTACGATCGGCGGGATTTAAAACTCTTTCAACTTAAAAGATGTGGGAAGAAAATGGCGGTAGTGGGTTTTTCTCTGAACACAATACATTGTCGCTGTAGCTCCTTTTGTTCTTCTCCTTTCAACAAATTATTTCGCATAACATAAACATAAATTTTTGTCTTCTTTTCTTCCAACTCTTAAATAAACCATATCAAAACGGGCATCTTGTCTGAGGTGTGCACAAGATAATTGTAAAGATCCGCTGCAGCAACAATACACGCCGATTTAAGTAGTGGATGACTAAGATAGATATTCATCGAGTAACAAATGCATAGCCGAGACTTGTGAGCGGCTCATCTGAAATTTACTGCTTGGTGAACTCTGTCCAAGGTAAACGCTAATATTATATGTAATTTGATTGTAATAAATGTGTTATTTAGTGAAGCATGATTTAAAAATTATAAGAAGTATGTCATTATCCTTTTAGAGAGAATGGTTAACTTGTACAATAAAGATCCCGTACAGAATTTCAAAATATAAATGAGGATGTGTACAAATAAAATAACATAACAATGTGACCAACTTAAGTAACTACACAAACGGTATAGATGACAATGTATAGATTTTGAGAATTCTGTCAAACCTTACGCTATGTAAAAGTGTATGAGACATACATGCATTGGTTATGTTACAAGTTGATATAAAGGGTGTACACATTGTTATAAAGTGTGTACATATGATTGTAAAGTATGTAAATACTGATATTATACACAAATTGGTTATAATATTTGTTTGAAATGTATATATTATATAGTGAAATATGCTATGCAAATTATTAGAGTTATGTGATTATCTATTACAGAGAAGATACACATCCATAAAAATTATTTTACAAAATGTTGTAAGGTGTGTACACGTTGTTATAAAGTATGTACATATGTGAATACAAATAATTAAGTGCTTATGATGTGAATAAAGAAATAAAAAATAAATATAATTGTTTGTCTTGAAAACAATAGCAAAAAATGCTTTTGTCGAATACAACACAATGGAGGAAGCATTGTGTCCTAAGATTGGCATGGAGTTTCAGTCAGAAGATGAGACATACAACTTCTACAATAGGTACGGATTAGGTGTTGGATTCAGTGTTCGGAAAGATTACTTGAATAAGGATAGAGACGGTGTAGTTACATCAAGAAGGTACACATGTTGCAAAGAAGGTTTTAAACCACGATACGAAGGAGATGTAAAACCAAAGAGAACTCGGGCTGAAACAAAAACCGGATGTGAAGCTAAAATGGGGATAATTTTGAACAGAGAAATAATGAAGTATCAGGTTCCAGATCTGGTAATCGAGCATAATCACACACTACACATTTCAGAATGTGCTCATATGATGCGTTCGCAAAGAAAAGTAAGTTTTTCTCAAGGAGCCCAAGCTGAAATTGCAAATGATGCAGGAATATCCTTGAAACAATCCCATGAACTCATGGGAAAAGAGGCAGGTGGATTAGGCAATATTGGCTACACTCGTGATAACTTAAAACACTATCTACGAACAAAAAGAGAGTGGGGATTAAAGTATGGTGAAGCTGGTGCAATGCTACGATACTTTGAAGAACAAAAATTGGAAAATCCGTCATTCTTTCACGCAGAGCAGCTTGATTGTGAAGAACAAATTACAAATATATTTTGGGCTGATGCATCAATGCTGATGGATTATACCTATTTTGGGGATGTGGTTACATTTGACACCACATATAAAACTAACAAGGAGTACAGACCATTGGGCGTGTTTGTGGGATTCAATCAATTTAGACAATTGGTTATTTTTGGAGCAACTCTATTGTACGATGAGACCATTGAATCATTCAAGTGGGTGTTCGGTACATTTGTAGAGGCAGTTTGTGGAAGGCACCCAAAAACCATTTTCACAGATCAGGATGCAGCCATGGCCGCTGCAATTTCAGCTGTTATGCCTTCAACATACCATGGTCTGTGCACTTTTCATATTAGAGTCAATTTCATGAAACACCTTGGGAACTATTACAAGGATGGTAGTAATCTCCCATATAGATTTGCTGAATGTATGTATGAGATAGAAGATAAAAATGAGTTTATCATGGCTTGGGATGCAATGCTAAAAGAACACAAGCTCGAAACAAATGAATGGTTGTGTGGCATTTATGCATGTCGAAAGAAATGGGCAAAATGCTTCATGAAAGGCGCCTGGATTGCAGGTATGCGTAGCACCCAACTAAGTGAGAGTCTAAATGCTTCCATAAAAAATTATCTGAAACTTGATCATGACCTGGTTCAATTCTTTAAACATTTTAACCGAGTTGTGGATGAAAAAAGATATAATGAACTAAGAGCTGAGTATCACAGTCGACAGAAGCTGCCAATGTTGAGATTGCAACAGACTCCCGTACTGATCCAGGCAGCTTCTATATACTCTCCATGCATGTTTGTTGCATTCCAGAATGAATACGATGAATCCACTACAATGGTGATCTTGGACCAAAAGCATACTACAATGCATGTGGAATACAGTGTCAGTCACTATGATGGAGGAAGGGAGAGAAGAGTGATATTGAATCCAATAACTAAAGACATTACTTGTAGTTGTAATCTTTTTGAGCAGGAAGGAATCCTATGCTCACATGCTTTAAAGGTGTATGATATGGTTGGAACAAAGTTTATTCCTGATCAATATGTGACAAAGAGGTGGACAAAGAAGGCAAGGTCCGGAGGCAGCGTCGATTGCAAGGGTAGATAAATATCATCAGATCCGTCTCTCTCTATTTCCCATCGATATAGGCTATTAGCACCCGAAATGGTAAGACTTGTTACCAGGGCTGCCATGTCAGAAGCCGCTACAAAGTTAGTCAGTAGCGTAATATCTGAATTGTCAAAGAGAGTCGAAATGCTATTTTCTGGAGAAATAGATGAAATAACACAGAATAGTGCATCAATGGATCTATGTAAGGAAATACAGGTGCAGAATGCAGCTGGCCACTTTGTGACTCCAACGGGTTTGAAGAAACGAAGTGGCAGAAAAACTAAGAAAGTATTGCGTAGTTAGGTGGACAGGTTTCATAGGCAAAAGAAGAACTCTAGATTGTCTGAGGCAAGCACTCCTGAGATGGTTAGTACCGAATCTTATTTTTGAACTTACATAATTACATCATTTCAATTGACTCTACTATCGTAAACCGACTGAGTTGTTGTATATTCTTCTCTTGTCAGTCATCAGAATCCTATCAACCTATCCAAAGTCAAACATCAAGCAAATGTTTGTCATCGAATAATTCTGTAGTAGTAAGTAGTTATTTTTATACTTTACATAATGTGCATTATAGTTCACTGTTAGTTATTTAGGTGTTACAAATTAATATTTTATTTGTACACATTGGTTATAAGGTGTACATATTAGTGATAGGATGTTCATCATATGTTATTTATTTTTGACACAGTAATATCATATTTTGTACATATTAGTTGGTACACATTACAGAGATCTCTTAATTTAATAGCATTTATATGTTGTTGTTTTATGTGTACAAACTGATATATATGTTGTACGCATTGATTGATACCATGTACCACTGGTTACTTTGTTTTGAAATATGAATAATTTCATTTGGACACATGATTACACATTTGGATAAAATTTTTGACAGATTATTAATTTATTTGCTCACATTTATTTTTTCAATCGTACAAGTTACAATTATTTATCACCCGTTGTTTAGTTTTGATATCGTGTTATTATTCCGGTACACGGTGTATATTAGTTGGTACACAGTATGGAGATCTCTTGATTTAATAACATTTACATGTTGTTGTTTGATGTGTACAAACTGATATATATGTTGTACGCATTGATTGATACCATGTACCACTGGTTACTTTGTTTTGAACTATGAATAATTTCATTCGGACACATGATTACACATTTGGATAAAATTTTTCACACATTATTAATTTATTTGCTCACATTTATTTTTTCAATCGTACAAGTTACAATTATTTATCACCCGTTGTTTAGTTTTGACATCGTGTTATTATTCTGGTACACGGTGTATATTAGTTGGTACACAGTATGGAGATCTCTTGATTTAATAACATTTACATTTTGTTGTTTGATGTGTACAAACTGATATATATGTTGTACGCATTGATTGATACCATGTACCACTGGTTACTTTGTTTTGAAATATGAATAATTCCATTTGGACACATGATTACACATTTGGATAAAATTTTTCACACATTATTAATTTATTTGCTCACATTTATTTTTTCAATCGTACAAGTTACAATTATTTATCACCTGTTGTTTAGTTTTGACATCACGTTATTATTCTGGTACATGGTGTATTTTATCTTGTACACTACAAACCATATCATTTGAAATCTATTGCATAGTTACTTCAGTCTAATGCATTGGTTATGTGTTTTATTCATAGTAGCCCATAAGTTTGTAGTATAACTTTACAATGTATTC